TTTGTTCAAATTCATTTTAATTTAGATTGGTTTCAACACAAACCTAGTCCATTGACACCTATATTCTTATTTTATATCAATGGACTGGATATTGGCTTAATCCAACCAAATCTAATATAAATTTATTACGGACGGACCAGGTGCAGTCCAATCTAATTTTATATTTTGGACTGGATTGGTCCAATCCACTATGTCTTTTTGATTTGTCTAATCCGTCCAAATTGATTTTGGACTGGACGGCAAGTCTAAAACTGGTCCATTAACACCCTTAGTTGGACGGCATTCATTTGGAGGGCCAATATCTTTTATAGGATCATTTTGAGACGTAGCAATGGCAAGAATAGCTTCAGACAGGATATCACAAGCAAAGAGTTACAATCACATGTACTGAATTTTAAAATTCCAAATATAACTGAATTTTAAAAAAATAAAGAAAAACTACATAAAAATGTTAAAATTAAAAGAATTAACCCTAAAATTTTAAATATAAAATAAAGAGTAAACAATAAAGATTAAAGACTAAATAGAAAAAATTAAAGAATGGAAACTTCTAATAATGCATAAATAGTCCCACGTCCACGCACACACACACACACAAAGTTTGGTGGTCTAAAGTCTAAACTATATAATGAACACCCCTACTCCCTATTCCCACCACTCTAAGTCTGATTGATGCAAGAAAGGGCTGGGTAGTTCGACCCAATAGATAGAAATCAAATTGGTAGGGGTAATCATACTCCCACCTAATGCCTTGAAAGCATGGTGCAAAAGAAAGAATATCCAAAAAAAATTAATTAATATTTTCTTAAAAGCCTTAACAAATTAATTAATTTGATGCAAATTCTAACATCCAAATCTAGGATAATAGGATAATCATATTCCAAGTCGAATTGGATATTGGAATACACGTTACTATAACAACAGTAAAACACATTCTAACAGCAATATAATCAGTAAAAACATCAAGAAATAATGAAGAAGAGGGACCACAAGCTAGTCAATCATTTTCTCTATAGATATTATTTAAATAACAAAATAATATTATAAATAACTAATTTCACTTGTATCAATTAATAATTCTAGAAAATAACTTTCAAAAATTTAATATTTATTAATAATAATTTTATAATCTTAATATATATATATATATATTATTTATATATACATAAATTAATATTTATTATATTTTTAATAATTATTTATTGTATTTTTTGATAAATATATTTTCAAAAATTATGTATAAATCTTTTTTGTTTTGTTATTTAATAGAAAATTTTCAATAATTATTGGAGATTAAACTATTCTTATTTAACTTTTTAAATTTAATTTATTGTATTTTTGTTATAAATTTATTTTTAGTAATTATATATTTTTGTTGTAATTTATTAATTAATATTTAGTAGAGATTAAACTATTATTTGAGATTACAATATTTATTGACTAATTTAATATATTTTTAGTATTTATTTTATTTTTATTAGTTATTTATTGTATTTTTGTTATAAATTTATTTTCAATAACTGTGCATTTTCGTTAAAAATTTTCAATAATTTTTGGAGATTAAACTATTATTTATTAGAGATTAGACTATTAATTTCATTAAAATTAGGAGTATTCATGGGTCGATTCGGTTGGATTGTAGGCTATTTGGTCAACCAAATCGACTTGGTTGGGTTGGGAAGTTGGTCGCCCAAAACTGACTAACCATTAGTGAAACTCGACAAACTCGGGTTGTTTCGGTTTGGTCGATTAGTTCAAAAGATTTAAACTTAAAACATTAAGTTTAAATTTAAAAATTATAGTCGTATTATTAAAAAATTAAATTTATGATATAAAATATTTTAGACTAAGAAATATGGAAAATTTCTCACTTTCTCGTATTAAAAAATTATTTCTAAAATATAAAATATTAATATATATTTATGATCGAATCAGTTCAATTTTGGTTAGTTTACAAATGGTCAAACCAAAACTAACCCAACTTGTTCGGGTAGGAAAATTGCTAAACCAAAGTCGATCAGTAGAAACTGATAAACTTGGGTCGAGTTGGGTTAGGTTGGTCGGGTTTCATCAATTTTATAAACAACCTTAGCGGAAATTAATTATTGTTATTTTGTATTGTAAAAAATTATTAAAAATAGTATATAAAATATAAATAATTATTAATTATTTAAAAATCAAAATATAAAACAATTGTATACTCTTATGAATTTCTTTTGATTAGTTTTCATTTTACAAAGTTTGTGCACCACACGGGTCCTCACTAGTCTATATATATAACAAAGTACAGCTTGCCATGTCAATAGTCCTCTCCTTGCTTTGTTATCCAAATCGAGCAATTTTAGAAGGGATGCAAGATTCCCTTTAGAAGCACTAGGAGTTGCCACCTAGCATGGCTTATCTCCTTTTTTCCTCTCATTTTTATTAGGAAATTAACTATCCCCCACTTTCTCCTACATTATCTCTATCTCTCCCTAATTCCTATTTATCTCCTAAATTATCTTTAATTCCTATTTATTCTCTCCCTCACTTTTCATCAATATCTATCTAAAGAAAGTTTCAATTAAAATATTTAACAAAATTAATTATAACTAGCGGGCCCCTGCAATGCACGGGATATGACACCCCTTCTTGTCCCTCGCCCCCATTGTCAAGACACTCTACCCCATCCCCACCTCGTCTTGGTTTCCCCTCCCTGAGGCAACCAGGGGAACCATGGCCCCCCCTATGGTCCCAAAAATCCCCACTTGCCATAGACTGTTTCATATACATTTCCCAACTAGCCATATTCCCCTCTGAATCATTCGACATCAATGGATGTTGGTTTGGGTCGAGAACCATCCTCCCAAGCAACAAGCCTATTATCCTCTACACTAGCATCAACACCTAGAATCAGCAGGTTCAGTCCATCGCAATGTTGAAGAATCTGCCCAACCCGTACCTTAGGGAGTGGGTTAAGCCTCCTTACAATCCATTGATGGTGCCCATGCAAGGCGTCAACACGAGCGCATTCCGTGACCCAACAACTGCATCTCCCAGGAAAGGATGGGCGTTGGAGAGTTCTGGTTGGGCACAATAGAGGGAGTAGAGGGATGGCCCTTCTTTACAAGAGTAGAAAGAAGAGAGAGAGACCATCACCGCTAGTTGTCATTGCCGCTAGTTGTAGTTGCAGTGGCAACCGTGAGGTCTCAGACCCAAAACAAGGGAGGTAGGAGAAGAAGGAGAGTGGAAAGAAGAGAGAGACCACCACCGCTTCTAGAAGTCGCAGTGGCGATGATGTGCTCTTTGACTAAAACAGGGGAGGTGAGATCAATGGGGGGAAGAAGAAGAGCGAGAAGAAGAAGAAAAAGAAGAGAGAGAGAGAGAGAGAGAGAGCTGTCCAGTATCGTTGCTCTCAGACTGATTTTAGGCAAACTGAAATACCAAACCATCCACTGTCGGCTAGAATCCCCAAGCAGGGAACACCTCGTTGAACTCTCCCTCTTCCCTCTCCCTCTCATTCTCTTCCCCGGTGCCATAGGGGAACCACTGGTACCAGGTTGGTGGAGGGTGGGGTTAATAATACTAGATGTAGGTTGTGTTCCGACATTGCTCGTAATTGGGGATGGACATTACCGAGCTCATTGCCTTTGGTAGGGAGAAGCTTGCCTCAGTTCCTTCCGGCGGTGGTGTCGTTGTTGTTTTATGCAGGTGGTGTCGTTGGTGTCAAAGCTGCTGCTACACATACTGCGAAAAAAAAAAGAAGATTGAAGAGAAGGAACAAGGGAAGTGAAGAGAAGAGGGATAGAGGATAGTATTGGATTTTATTAAAATTATACGCCAGGTGGTGTCACATGTGTAGGGATTTTGATAAAATATTAACGAACACTAATGATAGGGGTGGAATTAATCAATTGTTAGAAAACTTAAGGGTACTTAGAGATACTCTAAGACAATAGTTAAATAGTAAAGATATAATTTATCAATTAATTAAACGGTAACGATAGTTTAAAAATTTTGTCCTTTCTTTAAACTAACAAACATGGGCAATTTGGGGAATAGGGAATATCTATATCTAATATAGATTAAGAGTTCCACCTTAGCAACAAACATAAGTCATGGTGAATTTCTTATAATAAAGATTTTTGAGCTACTTGATTTATGACCCAACTTACATACTAATTTCTTTTGTTTTTTTAAGCATGCAGCCTAATTTYAATTGCATGGGAGGTAGGTACTTTTCCTAGATGTGTAAAATGGGCATGGCCCGCTGACGGGCCATGTAGGCACGGCACGACCCTTGGGGATGGGTTGGACCAAGGGTTTTTGGCCCTTGGCCCGGCCCAATAATGGCCCCACATGTTTTGGCACATCATGTAATCATTTTATTATAACATTGTTTAATTTTATTGTAATATTTTTCAATTTTATTTAATCATTTTACATTTTTATTGTATAAATTGATTATTCATATGAAATAAAATTTTAAAATATTTTTTTTTCAATTTGTTGTTACAATCATTGAATTTATCATTCTTTTTCTTCAACTTTTTATTATTTTTTATAGTTTTTTGATTTGTTGATTTTTTAAATAAAAACAAASAAAGAAAGAAAATGAAATAATACGGGCTAACCCGGCCCGAGGCCCACAGACCATGGCCTGGGCTTGTACTGGCCCCACCATCCTTGCCCGGCACAACCAACATTACACTACTAATTAGGCCTATCCTCTTTGGCATTATGTGTATTTTTTGGTAAAAAAATCACATTGTAATTTGAGTTATACAAAGACATTTTATGGGCCGAGATCATGGACTTGAACCACTTCTGTCTTTTTTTCCCTCCCAGATCCGCCATAAGGCCCATAACCGGTGGACTTGATGGGCCCCACCAGGAATAGAACTCGGTACTCACCAATAACACGACAGTGAGTCAGTGACGACCGACCGACCGACGATCTGCACATTTGCGATCGTAAGACGTAAGTTCGCAATTTTAGTTTGGGAGCTGAACCGGAAACAGAAGTGTCCAACCGATTCCCATCTGCGAACCACAGGTCCACAACAAACCGGGCTGAGAGACCTTGCAGCTTGAAGCAGACATTATCTTTCTACGCAGATACTTCTTGACCAGACCGCTATATTTAGGCAATTGAATCCAACCATGCGAAATTTAGCATGAATCCATTAGCCGACTTCCGTCACCGTCATCATCTGCGCATTCTTTGTCTCGGATAAAAACCTTCAACTGATCCAACGGAATCTGCTCCTCTTCAGAGTTCCCCCAACATGAAATCTTCTCTCGTTTCTGCAAATTCCTCTTCTCTCACGTTGAAATTCTCTAGAAAATTTTGTGGGTTCGACTTTTTTAGGCCAAATAAACAAAACCCATGTCGGATTTCAGATGGGTTTCTTAAATTTTCGGTGTCAGCTGGGAATCTGTCTCTGAATTGTCGAACCCGTCCATCTCGTTTGATTCTAGTTTGCTCCACAACAGAGGGGAAACCATCTGATGCAGAGCCGATGATTCAAGGGTCAGAAGGGGAGATGTCAAATGCTGTTTTTCTCGAAGATGGGGGAGAAAGTAGATTGAATGTCGAGGTCGGAAACCCTCATSTTCCCGCGTTTGTTCCGGCGGGAAAGCTGAGCTTGAGTGATCAAGCTTTCTTCCTTTTGGCCTTCATTGCTTGCACTGTATGGTTTCTCACTCTTTAGCCATCTCAAACTTGGATTTCGTGAGTGAAAAGTAATACAAAATATGTTTATAGTGCTTTATGCAACAATTTTCGTTGATTATTAGTTGCCTTACTCAAGTTAATAATACTGAAGTTGAAAATTTTTCTTTTGCCCTGCTTGCAGACTTCTATTGCGTTTACTAGCCTTGTAATCGCAGCTGTTCCTACTCTCTGTGTAAGTAATTTCAATGTTCTCGTTTTCCTTGATGACGGTGCTGATGTTTCTAATGCACACTTAGTATTTCTAAGCAGGGATTATGAAATGAGAGCACGTTTTAATTTTTGGTGATTTATTTGGTCCACTGGTGTATGATGTTTTGCCTTGTAATCTGTGTTCCTATGATGTTTTCCTCTCATTCCAGATTCTGTCATTAGTGATGTTTATTATGAACAAACAAGAAGACTAATTCCCATATAAATAATTTCTAAGTTCCTGTTTTCCATGATAGTTGTGCTCATATTTCTAATGCACAGTTGAGCATTTCTAAGCATAGATATATGGATTCAATGAGGGCATCTTTAACTTTTGCTATTATCTTGGAAGTTGGATCCACTGGTGTTTGCATTGTTAAAAATTGTGTGTTTGAATGCAGTTTTTCTTTTTTCGCCTAATGATATAGTTAGTAGATCTGTATGAGATTGGTGGCTTTGCCATGCCATAAACCCCATTTTGTTTTTATTTATTTATTTATTTGATTTGATTTAAGACCTGTTGCTTACAGTAAAGAACTAAAGATCAAATAATTGTTGGAATAATGTTAAAATAACTTAATTGCATATGTTAGGGCCTGTTTGGCTAATTAAAGTGTTTTTTATTTCTGTTATGTCTGTTATTGTACTTAGGGGCACAAGGGTATTTTCCCTTGTTATTTCTGTCACCCTATATATAGTAAAATAAACACTGGCGCCGCCGGTACTGTTACATTGCAAACCTTCTCTCTTCTCTCCTCCCTTCTCTTCTTCTTCTCTTCTCTTCTCTCCTCTTCCACTTATCTCTGGCCGGCTACACTGTCAAGATGGTATCAGAGYRGGAATGCTGATTAAAAGAGAGCAGATCGATCAACCCTACTATCAAGAGAAGATCGATCAACCCAAAGAACAGA